CGCACACACACACACACACACACACACAACACAGGCATGCGCGCACACACACACACACACACACAAACACACAGGCGTGCGCACACACACACACACACACACACACAGGCACACGAACAGAGAAAAAAAATATGACAGTAAACCTGACCCAGCAGCGAAATAAAAGAGCACTGCACCTGGAAAAAGCACTGGACCTTCAGCAATTAACATTTAACCCTGCTGCAATCGAAATGGATGATGACCTTCACCACAGAGAGCATTACCTTCCATACCATTACAGGACACTCACAGCCAGACTTGTGGTTTTAACTGACTAACCACACCGGCTGAAAGCGGTTGTAGATTTGTAACTACAATTATAGGATGTGTGCGAATCCTCAAGACCTTTTTTACATACGTGATTGAACCACTACAGGTACATGCTATTCGATGGTAACTTAATGTGCATCATCCATCCATCCATCTACAAAATTCTTCTCAAAATTGTGGGGAAAACCACTCTGTATCATTCTTCGTTCAATTTTGCATTTGCATTGAAAGTTCAATGACTACGATTAAATATTACTTTCAAGCACAACACTCATAATTAATGTTACAACTTCCATCAGCTGAGGAGCATTCGAGACGTACAGCGGAGGACAACGGGGTGGACAGCTCAGTTTCCTAAGGCATGATGGACCGCTGCGATGTAGCTAGACAGCATGGGCACATGGAGCCAAAGAGACTCACACTGAGCCATGGGCATCGAAACAGAGTGCCAGGCGAGGACAGGGTGGCAGCATGGAGGGCACCAGGCGCCACGGGAAGCGATAACCACTGGGTAAAGAAGGCGTACCGCTGTTTCAGATGGAGCGGGAACGACCCACAGCCAGGATCCTGCTGACACATAACACTCACTCCATACCACTGCCTTACTGCCCTATCACAACAGGCGCTGCTAAATCCCTAATGCAAGATTACTGAGTAAGGCCTTATCTGTGCCACATTATTTTACGCCACACTATCAGAAATCATCATGGAATAACGCCAGCCAATGGGCAAGCACCTCTCAGCGCAGGATCATCTGTCTAATACCCTGTTCGAATTTCATTAGTAAATACCTAGATTTAGTTTGCAAAACCCAAGCCTTATGTGTGTGACATTCTAATCAAGAGATGAATGATGGCTTCTAGCAAATACAGTAATACAGAGAAGAGACTGTGGTATACGTGAGACAGTAATATCTACAGCATTATTATAGTAATGTCAGATGGAGTTTCCCACCATGACGACAGATGAATTGGCCAAAAGTGGGACAACTGGGTACCGTCAATCCTGGAGTCCGGCCCACTGGAATGGGCATGCAGTGGGTACACAATCCCCCACCGTTTCCTGTTTGGCAGTGTCTGTCCCCTCTCAGCCTACGAACCAGTGCATTCCTAATTTACATCCATGCATCCAAATCCACCTCAATATTTATATTCGATTCGAAAAACAGCATCTCTGTGCACGCGTGCCTAATTCATTATTTAAGGGCGGCTGTGGCCCTGATTAGAATGATTAGTAAGGGCTTAGTAACTATAAGAAGAAATTAACACAGTCATACACATATTAAATAACAAGACAGAGAGAGAAAAAAAGCAGTAAAGGAGGTAAAGTAACACAATGAAGGAATCGTTATTCATTAAGATGAGTGTCAGTGACTAGGGATTATAGCCAGACTGTAAAAGAAATTTATGAGAGAGCTATAGGGTTCTGGTAGAACCTTTCAATACCGAGCCGCAGCGGCGCTTTCAGAGAGAGACGCCTCCCTTGTGGACAACACCCTCGACGCCGGCTTCTGGACACGCCCCGATGAAAACACACCCACGCAGGAGCGTGGCGACTAGGGCGGGGAAGCATGAGCCGCAGGACGAGCCCCCTCTGACTGCGCTATGCCAGGGCTCTGTGCTTGCTTTGGAGAGACAGCATCCCTTGCATATATTTTGCAAGAAAAAGCAGACTTCTTTACTAATTCTATCAGTGCTCATTATACGTATACATGCTTTACGTGCTGAGCATATTTCATATCCAGAAATATTCATTAAAATATTCACTTGAATAGGCATGAAAGTAATTTGTCTAAAACACTCACACTGAAGCATAAGCCATTTCTAAAACGAAACTTAAAAGGCTCCGTTGATTAAAATTGATTGCTTACTCGTTCTGTTTTTAAATAAGGGGGGGGGGATAACCTCAACATCAAGTCATAACCACTGGGAGGCTATAATTGTAGGTTTATAGTACACTGTAGAATTAATATTCAGTGCAACCGAGCAGAGAGCAAGGTGGTAATAAAATCTGGTACAGGTTGCTACAAAATGTAACTAAAAATGACACAGATACATACATTGAAAAACTAGACCAAATACGGTATGTGTGTGGCTGTGAAGGGGTGGGGCGGGGGCGGGGTCCGTGCGCCAATTTATAAAGCATTAGGCTGAAATGCGGGGTAATATCAACACCTTATCAGTTAATAGGCTTCACCGAGCGTAGTAACTATAGCCGAGACCAAAAACCGCAGCAGCAGCGTAACACCATGTGCTATAAAGAAATGGAATTGCTTCTGTTAGCTGATAGGCAGGGAGGAAGTGCAGGGAAATCCCAACTGCAGAAAATACCCATTCCCCGCAAACAAGAGGAAAGCCCTGCTCGCTGCCGCTCCGCGCGGAGAAGCCCCTCCCGCAGCCCCTTAATCATAACCCGTCTAATCCACACAAAGGCAAGGCGCAATCACTACGTCGTGAAAACGTGCATCATATCACAGCTGGTATACACGTTTCCATTTTGCGCAGCGCTACAGATTCGCACATTGCACAGGGCAAATAGTTATCAAACACCGGATGCATTTTTTTTCTCGCAATCATCGTCAACTTATAAAAGTCGGGGTGAGAAATTAAACATTGTGTTTATATAAACATGAAGAATATTTAATGCTAGCACATAGGATTTGTTAAATTATCCATATTTTGTTGTCCTTTGGATTTACTACAGCTTGAAGGGCAACGTCCCACTATGTAAATTGCCGAGCACGCGCCTCTTCTGTCAGGTTAGTGACACAGCTACATAGCAAAATACACATATAGGCTATAGCTAATATCTGCGACATTATATTTATTATTTAAGATGCAGCCTTCACTACGTTTAGAAAAACCGAATACCCATAGTAAGTCATCAAAATCAAATATGAGTCAAATCTTCAAGTCTGTCAATAAAGCGATATAATATATTCCACTGAAACGCTTTAAAGTAAAGCAATTTAGAATTAAATCATATAACAATCACAATCATAGATCACATTACAAGCACTGCCACAAAAGAGGATTCAAACATCTGTTTTGACATCAGCTACAATAGCATTTGCATTAAACTGAAATCCACTACCTGGAGGGAAGGCTACTTTTTTCCTCCACTGCCCGTCCAAACGCCCCTGCTTTACACATTAAACATTGAAAACTTGAAAACTTGAATTACTGCAGTCTGGTAATTCGGGTGTCTGATAACTTCTCCGCCACCATTTCAGTTGGTTCTGAAAGTGCACGATGTCAATGACCAATAAGAGGAATTATTCATCAAGACTAAAAAAAATAATAATAAAAACCCGGTTCAGTGTATTTCTAACACCGAGCGGATTAATTACTCCAGTTGAAAATACGGTAATTCCTGTGACGCTGACTCTTTTCCTTTGGAATTTATCAATTAAACGATTGCTTGAGTAAATGAAAATGAGCGTTAAATAATGTTTATGCCATATGCTGCTCCGGAGAAATAGATGTATATAGTAATATAACAGCAGTGATACTCGATAAAACGCCCGATGATTCACATTGCAGTGGATATAGGTATTCTGCGTAGTTTACTTACAACTATTTGTTATTATCGGCAAACCAGTTTATTAACCAGCACGCACATCCTATTATTTTAATATTATTCCTACATCAACGGTAACAGTCACACTTTTGCTGTCTTACCTTATTTGCTAGTTTGTCGTGTCGCTCACTGCAGAAGTGGTCGCAATTAACATATTGCTGTGGTATTCATTGAAATTGTTTCCGATAATTTCTCGGCGCTCCCCGGCTACGGGCTTGACTATCACGCGCTGTCTCGCGCTCTCTCTCACTCACAAACACAAACAGTTCACACGCGCTCAGCCGCGCTCGCGTTATACGCGGGTGAGGCGCGTGGCCGAGGGAAGGAGGGCGGTTATCAGGGGTACTCAGGGCTGCGCTCGCTCTCACTCACCGGACCGCTTACCCGCGTGGCGAATTCACTTTGATGCCCATGCCCGTGTTATATTCGAGCTGCGTGCTCTGCAACTAATTTTACAGAACATCACGTAGTGTTATGTGTTTCACACAATACAACATTAATATTATTATTATTATTAGTAGTAGTAGTAACAGTAGTAGTAGAAGTAATTGAGTATAGTAACAGGGGCGTTGCTTGAGATTTTGCGCCCCATGAAACATATCATATTGGGCCCCCTAGTCCAGGCCAATCCAGTTATTTTTCAATTTTCTTTAGTTGAGTCATTCTAACTCCAACCCCCCCACCCCCAACCCCATTACAGCACCTCTTAGTAGTAATAGTAGGAGTATGTTGTTGTTGTTGTCGTCGTATTTATGAGCTCTTCCTTGCATTGGTTTGGATTTACCCTTTATAATTAACTTATTTTCTACTGCAGAAGCAATTTACAGTGTTGGAACATAAACCTGTGACATTTTGTTTGTTAGGTCTACGTCCTTAACAACTATGCTACCAACTGCAAATTAATAGTGTACATATATTTTATAATGGAAAAAAAACATAAGCACAGAAGATAACCATAATGGTATGTCAAATCTTTTTTAAAAACCCATTGATTTATAGATGCCCATAAACCTACTGTAAGAATAAAGAGTACCAATTTGTGCCTTTGCATGTCACTGGGACTGTACCCTCAAGGATAAATGCACCTTTTAAGATGTGGAAATGGACTCTGAGGAACATTTTCATAGCATTGGGGGTACATAAATGTTGTTTGTACCTTGAGGATGTTCATCAGAGTCCATTTCAATACCTTAAATTAGACTAAAAGGTACATTTACCTACCGCTAACGTACAGTTGGCAGACCCTTGAGGGTACAGCCCCAGTGACAATTGTATAATTGCACCCTTATAGGTATAAATTGGTGCTCTTTTTTTCCAGCAGCGTAGCATTAATGTCGGCCCTTGTTGTGCCATGTTTCCTGTGTACTTTTCTGTCTTGTTCAAGTGTTTAAGTACACCTTTTAGCACCAAGAACCTTACAAAGGGAATCAGTCTCTTAGTCATAATTCCTTCTTTCAGCTTTTAACTTACGAGGAACCTCTCACGTAGAAAAAGCATATAATATAACCAACACTACCCCCACTACCACCCTGCATGTTATTTTCCATCATACAGAGCTTTTCTTTATAGACTATAGCTACAACCAAAGCACCAGGGGATACAAAAGAGGAAAGAGGTCAATGATCTACTGAAGTTCAGCAATAGCCAGAAGAACTGCAAAGTCATTTTGATATCATGTCATTGTGTATCTGGGGCACAATATGCTCAATAAGTAAACAAGAAGACATATATAAATAAAGTGATCTGTAGTATGTTGCATCACTAATGTTGATGACCATCTAAAACCTCAAAAAACTGCATTACCCCACCGCCCCCCCAAAAAAACTTACAATGTGATAAACTCTTTACGAACATGTCTTGTATTGTTGTAGCCTATCATGACCATAATTCATCTCCACTTAAAGTATCATTTGGATTTGCAAAAGCTGCCCAAAATAATGCCTTGTGTACTTTCATACTCTGCTTGCGTTCATAAGAGCTTCCTCTATGTACATTCAGTGTTTCCTTCCAATCCAAGGATGTAGTTTAGCTACTAAGTCACAGATTGAAGCTCATGCTCTTTGAAATACTGTCAGCTTGTGTTTCATGGGTTAGAATCCAGGCTTACTGCAAACCCGTACGGGATAAGGTACTGAAAACAGATTTTACAGTATTTATGATCTCTTGTTGCCTACAAGAGTTAGCCTGTCAGGTGAGGAATGGATGCCATTTCTGATATGCTCTCCAACTGTACACCCACATTGTGCACTGTGGGGACAAACAAGGAGAAGATGTGGGATTGTCATAATGAAGTTACTCTTCTCTATTATACTCGGTGTCACTGATAAGCTGTTTCTTTTCCATAACATAAAAGCAGTATGTCCCTCCCAGCCATCTCCCCCCCCTCTGTGACAGAATCTCCTATCTCATTTCCATTCATGGACTGTGAAGCTCACACATGCCCTATGCCCTCTGGCATTCTATAGCAATGTTTCCCAATCCAGTCTTCAAGGACCCAGGGACAGTCCACGTTTTTGTTCCCTCTCAGTTCACGATGGGAGCAAAAATGTCGACTGTCTGGCAGGGAGCTGGGAGGGAGCAAAAACATGGACCGTCGGTGGGTCCCCGAGGACCGGATTGGGAAACACTGATCTACAGCACTGGAACTATTGTAGAACATATATGGCTTTCTGGGCGCATTTGATGAAGGTGTTACAAAATGAACAAAAGCATTTTAATTCACCGTGACACTCGTACACCTGCCTTTTTGCTGTGGATGTTCTACAGTACATTTTAATGACCTTCATTCACATGCTTGTCGCCTCTTTTGTCTTTATCTGTACATATAGGGAGAGAAGCTCAAATCCTTTCACATGCAAGTAATGTCTTCTTTTCTGCAGCCAGCCAGTGCAGAATCAAGACTGAAGCACAGAATACAAATTCTACTTCAGTTAGTTATTATACAAATAAAACTGAGACAGAAGAGGAAGAACATACACATACATCAGTGGTCGTTGTATTTGTTTTATTGATCTAGAGAAATATTACTGTGGCACACTGGTGGCTCGTGATTGGTGAACTGTTTTATATTTTCATATGAATTTATAATAGGGACAAAATGGAACAAAAAACGTGAATGTCAATGCATGAAATATTTGTATTCTTATACAGATGCTTCCTGGATTATGATGGGGTTACGTTCTGATAAACCTATCATAAGATGAAAATATTATAAAGCGAAAGTGCATTTTAATACAGTACACCTAACCTAGCAAACATCATAGCCTAGCCTAGCCTAGCTTAAACATGCTTAGAAGATCTAGCCTACAGTTGGGCAAAATCTTTAACACAAAGCCTATTTTATAATAAAATGTTGAATATCTCATGTAATTTACTGAATAATCATACTCCTCGTAAAGTTGAATGATCGTAACATGGACCATCGTAAGCCAGGGAACATCTGTATTGAAATTAAAAGACCAACTTTTGTTTTGTTAGCCACTCGTGCTTTGTAGCAGTCCTGTATTAGTCTCAATCTTATGGCCTCTCCGGCCATGTTTCCAGGGTAACCAGCAGCATGGTTCAGTGATTAGAGACCGACAGGGAAAGCCATGACTAACATGCACCAGAATGAAACTTCGAAAAAATATGCTGCCTCATTCTTTCCTATTTATTGTTTGCACTTCCTCTGACCTTCGCTGCGGCTTCACTTTTTCTAACTGTCCTATATTCTTTGTTTATATACATGTCACATGACCCAGAGTCTGGCTTGGGCAACAACCCGATTAGTGCAAGAATATAAAGTAGCTTAACCCTATGAGGTTAACCTCTAAAAAACTCACATTAGCTATGCTGGGGTGGATTTTACACCCCACATTAATTTGGTTGTCATACACAAAATTAACCCACATCCTCTCAGCTGTGATCAATTTCTACATTATCTGGCACTGATACGTCGCTGTTGTCATCATTTCTGTCATCATTTTCAATCCATATGATCTCATATTAATTTAGCAACAACTGCAGCAGATAACCTTTGAGATATTTTGGACACTGATTATCGACAACAATGTATGTAACTGTATGCGATGGTTACCGATGGTATGACGTCAGTCACGTGACCCTGCATCAAGGAATAACCAAAAGAGGAACATGAAAGTATTCCAAAATCATCCAGGAACAGATGCAGCAAAGCGCAGAGCATAGATCCAAAGCTGTAAAACATTTATGTAAACAGTCCACAGATTAAGGTTACCGAACTGAAGCTAAGATCAGGATTAGAACGTTTATGGCTTTTTCAGATATCAAAATGTGTTTTTATGATAGGTCAGACCCCCCATATAACAGCAAACCACAGATTAGCTTGATTTAATAGGATATTTCATACTTTCCAACAGCCTGTTGTGTCACCCTGTCTCCCAAAGTTAGAGATAGTCAACTGTAGCTAGGGTTAGGATTAGAAAAGTTGTGGCTTTTTCAGACATCAAAACCTGTTTTTATGATAGGTCAGGACTCCCGTATAATGGGAAACCACAGCTTAGCTTGATTTAATAGCAAATTTCATACTTTCCAATCAACTGTTCTGTCACCGTAACAGTATGTGAGGGTTACTGTCGGTATGACGTCAGTCATGTGACCGTGCATCAAAAAATAAGCAAATATGAAACTATTCCAAAATCATCTAGGAACAGATACACCTACGCACATAGCGTGCATCGAAAGCTGTAAAACGCTGCAGTACAAATACTGGCAGTGGGATGAGAAATTCACTGCAGGTTAGCTTCTAAAGGTTAAGTGCAGGAGTGACGACCAGCTTTGCTGTACTCTGATTGGTTGCTGCCCAGGCTTCCCCTTAGCGTAACTGCATGAGCTTACTAGCCTGTCAGCATCCTCAGAGCTGTTGCCATATATAACCTGGAAGCTTTTTCCTGCTACTGAGCAGATAGTGACAGTAGCCAATGCAAATCTACTGTAAAACTACATAAACCAGCAGTCTGAAGTGTCTCTCAGGAGGCGGGGGAGACATAATGAACCCCAGACCTGCAGTCCATTGCCCTCCATACTAAAAGAATATTACACTGACCCATTAACTATATCTCCGGGAAATGGGTGGAAACTAGATATGTACAGCTACCAGGGGATCCTACAACCTCTGCACAAAACTGGGACCACATTATTCCACAGCCCTTACTGTTTATCACAAGGACAACTGAGCCACACACCGAAAAAAACAATAGCAGGATTTTTAAAGGGTTGCATTTAAAATATGTTTGGAGTGGTACATGTACAGACTTCATATCAATCGCAGCTTTGAATATTTGCTTGTCTGCATATATTCGGGCACTA